GGGAAACAACCTTTTCACCATGAAAAATAATTTTAGAGCCAGAATCAACTCTGCCTGCATGGCAGGTTCATACCTCTTATAACAATATTTTGCTAAAATATTCTAATTTTGATAAATCATCGATACCTCAATATCAGTTGGTTGTGCGGTGGCCTCCGCACTTAGCCTTGAGCCTGGCCCTGACCTAGATTGAATTTTAAAAGCATTTAAAATATCCCACTACGAAATTATGTGAAATGACCAAAATGATTATTATTTCTATTAAAATTGGCATTGAATTTTGGATTATAATGTAAGTATCTTCTTTTTCCATAAATGCAAAACTCATTGGGTGATTAAGGATCGTTTGTGTTTCTAAAATATCATTACACTACAAGTATATTTATTAGTAATATTTAAATGATGCTATCAAAAAACTTTACATGCATATATACGACCAATTATCATCGTGGATTGGATTATAATTATATAATAATGTTAGCATTGAATTATTGTACCGCAGAATTATGTTAAATTACATAGGTTTGAAATAACTCAAGATATTTTTTGACGTTGTGATCAATGTTTATGGCAAGTTTGAGTTAACTTTTTAGCTACACTTGCAAGCTTTTACTTGTCAATTAATCTGTTTTACAAATTTATACTGCTTACTGCCTCTTTCTTGTACCTAGAAATCTGTAGGCACAATTTATGGTACAAATAACAACAAATTATAATAAAAACAACAAAGGCTCCTATAGAGTTCCTATTTTATTTACTTTAATTTTTACTTTCCTTTGGTCGATTGAAGTCAGCTACACATTTACAACAATTGCTTTAACACAATACAATATGTGATAACTGTTAACTCTTTGTATAGGTGGTTGATCAGTAATAACTATTGATGCTTAATAGTTTTATAAATCAGTCTCAACACCTTGCATTTACATTTACAAAAGTTAACAAAATGTTTGCATGTAACAAAACCAAAAATCAACCCTTTGCTTTATACCATAACAAATACCCAAAAGCCCAGGGTTTTATAACCAACCAGACAATCAAACCCTACTGTATAATTTCCGACCACAAAAGTGTTTTATTAAACAAAAGAGAATTAATTATATATTCTATGTATAAATGTCTTTTCTATGTTTGGTTATGGACGTATAAATAGATGGAATATTAATGGAAATTTTTTAAAACTAAAAAAAAATTAATGAGGACTAACTGAAAAAGTCCGGAGCGGACTTTTTAGGACCAGTCCCGATTAACAATCCTAAAATGAGCACTTGTATAAGTCAAGACAATTATTGCTAAATTAGGATTTTAGCATTCTTAATGCAAGTAAAATTTATGAATTCTGGAATTAGAGAATTGATTCTGTACTGCCATCTAATTTTTTAATACGGGGAAACCCTTCGCATGGTTATCAGACTATATCGGGAAACATTTGCTATCATATGAAAGAGTGTATGAACCAGCCCATATTATATACAAAAAATTCAGTGTATAATCTGAATACTAACTAATACTGGAAGATTAATGTAATGAGACAATGGTGGTGCCAATCTTTATGTTAAAAGACAAAAAAATAGACATTGTTCTTGCGAGCACATTTAAAAATTAATTCGGAATATACTAAAATTGAAATTATAATTTTCTTAATGAACTACTCAAATCATTATTATTTACAACAATCATTGCCATCGCCAACGTCGAAAACAGCTAAAACATCAGCTTTATCTCGCTCTAAATTTGAATCTAATCTTTGACCCGACTTTTGGAAATCTTATTCGAGACGGAAATGAATAAATCTGTAGTAGTAGTAGTAGTAGTAGTAGTAAGTCAGCTAATGGATGGAAATCGGGTTTTTAGTGATGAAAAGAGAAAGTTTTGTATGGAAAATTAAAAATATTTCCTTGAGAAAATCTTTTATAAAAATATGTTTGTAAATAATGCAGATTTATATTATTTATTATATAATATTATTTATTATATAGATAGCATCTATAAAAAAAAAAAATAAATAAATATGTATATACAACTAATAATTTAAATTAATGATTAAAATAATCAAATAAACATTGTTTTATTATTTGAGAAACCTAATCAATTGTTCTTCTCTCCAAATTGATTTATATTGCTTTTCAATCTTCCCTCCATATATGCGCGCGTGAGAGAACGAGAGATAAAAAGGATTTATTGATAATTTAATTTAAAAGAAAATTTAAAAACATGGATGTGAATGTCTATTTTTGAAGGTGAAATTTAATTGGTGAAGGGCGATAATAATGAAACTAAAAATGAATGAAAAATAGATGATGAAATCTTGTATATATTCTTGATGTTTGATATGCAGACAGTACATCACACATATATATATATAGTAATTATGCAAATAAATAGCCAATAGAGCCAAAAATGAACTCATACAAACACTTAAAAAGGTTCGATTAGTTTCACTGGCTGACAAAATAGTATTTATAGACTAGGTTTTATTGGTGTTTTGGGTGGTCGGCAGTTTTTAAATTGGGTTGGATTGGACAATGCGTGATTCGATGTTATAGAAATAATGCTAATTCGACGCAATTTTATAATAATAATAATGTTCCATTCTCAACAAGGATCGTGCGACCATATAGTTATGCAACAGAATTTCACAAAGAAAAATAAATAAATAAAGAAGTTTCACCTGATTTACAATAGCAACAAAAAAGATTCAGCCATTCATTATGTTTAATCAATAATTGTAACATTTAAGGATAATTTTTTTTAAAGTTGTTTGTCACCGTTGTTAATTATGCTATCTGATACGTTTTTTAAAGTACTCCGTGTTTATTTAAAGTTTTTTTGTAAGAGAGTAATTAAAAATGAATTTATTTTAGATCGTTTATTTATTATTATAATTGGAAAAAATTTTACATATAAATATTTAGATTTTTCCTATCATGCTTTTTTTTTCAATTTTTTCAATAAGAT